CTCCGTGCTCTGGTCGACACAGGGAGTTCTTGCAGTTTCATTAACGCTAAGGTCGTGAAACTGCATAATTGGAAAATTTATCCAACTTTCTCAGTCGTCACAATGGCGTCTACATCCCTATCTTGTCGAACGACTGGTTACGCTTGTGTTTCTGTCCGATACAGAGATACCTCATACAGTGAACTGAAGCTCTTTGTAATGCCAAACCTCTGCACCGACGTTTTACTCGGGCATGACTTTCTAGGTCTACATGGCAAGGTAGAAATTTCATTCGGCGGGGATCGTGATGCGCTCACCATCTGCGGCCTGACGGCTGTAAACGTTGAATCACCATCACTTTTCGCCAACTTGTCTCCAGATTGCAAGCCTGTTGCAACCAAATCAAGAAGGCATCATCCGGATGATGAAAAATTCATTCGCGCCGAAGTTGACCGCTTATTGCAAGAAGGCATCATCGAACCGTCAACGTCTCCCTGGAGAGCGCAGGTTTTGATTACTAAGGGTATCAATCACAAACGCCGGATGGTTGTTGACTACAGCCAAACTATCAACCGGTTCACATATCTGGACGCTTACCCTCTGCCACGCTTGGACAAAATGATTGAGGAGATTTCGCACTACGAAGTCTATAGTACATTAGACCTCTTGTCTGCTTACCATCAAGTCCCCATCTCGGCATCCGACAAACCTTTTACAGCATTCGAAGCATGTGGTGGCCTGTTTCAGTTTCGTCGCATACCCTTCGGTGTCACAAACGGTGTTGCGTGTTTTCAGCGAACTATTAACAATATCATTACGACTGAAAAGCTGAAAAGCACGTATGCCTACATAGACAATGTGACTATTTGTGGCAAGACCCAAGAGGAACACGATCTCAATCTCCAGTCGTTTTTGAGAGCTACGAGGAAGTATGGGATCACTCTTAATGATGACAAAACAGTCACTTCTTCAAAAGTTATCCGCCTCCTAGGTTATGAGGTTTCAAAGGGTGTCATTAGACCAGACCCTGAACGCATGGAACCCATCCGTCAGTTACCTCTTCCGCGTACTACCACGGAAATGCAACGTATCATCGGTATGTTTGCATATTATGCTCATTGGATATCCTCATTTTCCGACAAAATCAACAAACTGGTAAAGAATAAAACTTTTCCCCTACCTGCCGACGTCGAGTTGACCTTCGACAACCTAAAGAACGAACTAGAAAATGCTACACTAATCACAATAGATTATAACGAGCCTCTGGTTGTTGAAACGGATGCCTCCGATGTGGCTATAGCCGCGTCCCTAAGCCAAAACCGTCGGCCGGTAGCCTTTTTCTCGAGGACACTCAATCCGAGCGAGAAGAATCATTCTGCCATCGAGAAGGAGGCCTACGCTATCGTTGAATCCATCCGGAAATGGCGGCATTATCTACTCGGAAGACCCTTCAAACTGATCACCGATCAGCGTTCAGTCTCATTCATGTACGGCGGTGGACAGAAGGGTAAAGTGAAAAACGACAAGATACAACGATGGAGGATTGAGCTGTCCGAGTACAAATATGATGTCATATACCGACCTGGCAAGGACAATCATGTCGCCGACACTCTGTCACGAAACGTATGTGCTTCCATGGGGAGCAATAACCAACTCGGAGAGCTCCATAACTCCCTCTGCCATCCAGGCATTACCCGTATGTTTCATTTTGTGCGTTGCAAGAATCTCCCCTACTCCGTCGACGATGTCAAGCGCGTCATTTCCTCCTGCAAAGTGTGTGCTGAACTGAAGCCAAGATTTTGGAAATCCTCTGGTAGACTCATTAAAGCAACACAACCTTTTGAACGTCTGAGTTTGGATTTTAAAGGTCCTTTGCCATCTAATACACGCAACCGCTACTTACTCACTATAATTGACGAGTTCTCTAGATTCCCATTTGCATTTGCGTGTGCGGATATGACCTCGGCAACTGTGATTGACTGTCTCACACAAATCTTCTGTCTGTTCGGAATGCCAGCCTATATCCATTCCGACAGAGGCTCATCGTTCATGTCGTCTGAGATCAATAGCTTTCTTCTGGAAAAAGGTGTTGCTATGAGTCATACATCGGCTTATAATCCACAGTGTAACGGTCAAGTTGAGCGTCTCAACGGTACCCTCTGGAAAACAATAAGCTTGGCGCTGAAATCTCACAATCTCCCGCCTTCACGTTGGGAATCGGTACTCCCTGATGTTCTACACAGCCTCCGGTCATTGTTATGTACAGCCACTAACTGTACTCCACACGAACGCTTGTTCCAATACGCACGTCGCTCAACATTTGGAATATCGTTGCCATCTTCGTTGACCACCCCTGGTCCAGTTCTGCTGCAACGAGGTGATAGGTCATCCAAGTACCAACCACTAGTAGAAGTTGACCTTCTGAACTGCAACCCACACTACGCACACATTACTCATGGAGGCGGAAGAGCCGAAACCGTGTCCCTTCGCCGTCTAGCCCCGGCGGTTCAGAATACAACTGACAATGTTCTCAATCTGTCTCAATCCAATCGGGATGCCGAATACCCAGATACGACTGAAATAACCGGACGTCAGCCCGATAGCTCTCAAGCATCTGAATCCTCTTCGGTACCGTCCTCCGAACACCAACCGAGTTATCCTGGAATTCTAGAACAGCGACGCATTCATCCTTCCAGTTTGAGGAACAGAGAAGCTTGATTCAGTACATCACCTCCTGTCTACGTCAGCTCATATGTGCCTATTCAAACACTGTCGGGGTGAATGTCATGAGTTTTGTGTGCTTATTCTTATACCTACCACATACTCGTACTGAAAATTTGTATGTACATTTCACCTCATGTACACTTGTTCTTAGACAAGTAAAACGTTGCTTATCCTCGAAAATCTAGACTTTATTCTAACTCGTTCTCGGCCTAATTCTAAACGTCTCAATCCTCTTACTATCGACAACGAGATGTCCCCTTTTCCGTTTGCCTTTCCCTGTGCAGATACATGTGCATCTATCGTTATTCGATGTCTACCTGAACTATTCTCTTTGTTTGGTGTGCCTGCATATGTACATTCGGAGTTTCGACACTCATTCATACCTGACGAACTGTCCACATTCCTACTTGGCAGAGTTTGCACCAGTCGAATAACTGCTTACAATTCCAAGGGGAACGGGCAAGTCGAACGCTTCAACGGGACACTTTGGAACACAATCCAGCTCAGACTCAAGACGGAAGGCCTTCAAACCTGTCGCTGGGGTCTGCTCTATCAGATACTCTACACTCTACACTGTCCCATCTCTGCGTCTCCAGGACTGTCACTCCACATGAAAGAATGTTTCGGTTTGAACGTCGGTCATCCTATGGTTTGTCTATACCAACTTGGCTAACTACTCCAGGACGTTTTATTGAAAAGCTTTGAGCATGCCTCAAAGTATGAACCAATCGCTGAGGAAGTCAGACTTATGATTGCAATCCACATTATGCCAGTGTCCGTTTTCCCAGCGGACAAGAAGGCATTGTATCCGTCCAACATCTGGCTCCTTGTGGTGATTGCACACATGTGAACGAGTTCACGCGTACCTCATCCAGTGAAGGCAATGGCGTTCATACATTCTTTGTCTGATTTACATGCTCCTTCGTTCCACCATATTACCGTTTCGTATTTACTGTCACCACAGACAACGTCTATTATATAATGAATGAAGCCGCAGTTTGGACACTAAAGCCGTCTCAGTAACGGTGACCCAGCTGTCTGCCTGCTCGTTTGTCAACGTGTTTCCTTTTTGTCACCCTTGTGTATAACCGTGTATGACCGGTAGTGCAGCAGTCAGTTTGGTCCCATATCAACTGCACCAAAACTCCCGACCTCAATTAGCTTCCTTAGGTTATGTAGATGATACCGGGAACTAATATTAATAACAGCAATAACAATAATAATAATCGTTCAGCTGTAATACCCATTCGGAGCCTAGCCGCATGCCACCAGGAAGCACGAGCGCTGGGATACTGCCAAGTTGCCCTGGTCCAGACGGCAGAGTACTATACAGAAGTACCATACGGATACTGGGAGCTAAGACACGCTTATATTCTGCAGGTGCCAAAAACAATGGAAGAGTCTAATGTAGTGACGACGGACTACGCATGAAAAAGCAGTCGCTGGTAGCAAAACAATTTTGATTTAAAGTGGTTATTGTATGCACTAATCACTCGAAAAACATCGAGTTCTACTGGTGCTGCGCAGGTTCATTAGTCAAATATGATGAAGGTATACTACCATGGTCTTAATCTAAATTAATTAATAACCTTGTAGCCTAAGGGTCGACTTGTAGGCTGAAGACTCAGTTAACCTAGTGTCTAAACTGCAGTTCCCAGTTATCGAAAGATCTATCACAGTACGACCTACACCACTGAGGTGGAAATTCTACCACACAAAACAAAGGTGAAATATTCATGGCTGAAAAGCCCTCATTCGGAGGAGCCCAAGGTATTTGTGGCCAGAATGACAACTAAATCCAACTCAAACCGCTGCACCACCGGACGCGTGAGTTGAGCGGAAAACGCGTGAAAGAAGAAACGTGTGAAAGATGCGAAACGCGTGAGTTAAACGGGCAAAACTGAATGTGTTAAACCCCATTCGGTATTTCTTGCATCAGTGTTGAGAAACTCCTTCAGGCGGCGCATGCCAGAATTAGGAAGGCTACAACCCCTGCAACAGGATTACGGGAACATTCGGTGTTTCGTACATTTCTAGGGCTGGTTTTTCCGAGCACCAACAGTTGAATGTCAGCCCTCCCCAACAGTACTCCACTGCTAGCATATTTCCTAAAGAAAATCTCGGGTATTCATCAACGCGTCCTCCACTTCACCAGACGTTCTCTTATTGAAGATGCACTAAGGCAATGTCCGGGGACTCCTAAGCAGCGGACACGTACCTGTCACTCCCCAAAGCAGCCAAAACACCTAGTAAAGGACATAAAATACATCTATTTCACATATAAATGTTTTAAATCATCAATACTCTTGGGACTGGCTCTTTTTACCAACAATAGCCGCCTTCTTCGGCAACAAAACAGCCTGGATATTTGGCAGGACTCCTCCTTGCACGATTGTCACCTTGCCCAAAAGACTGTTCAATTCCTCATCATTTCTGATAGCCAGTTGCAAGTGACGAGGTATTATTCGCGTTTTCTTGTTATCTCGTGCAGCATTGCCCGCGAGCTCCAATACTTCGGCAGCTAAGTACTCCAAAACAGCTGCTAGGTAGACGGGGGCGCCGGCTCCAACACGCTCGCCATAGTTACCAGCTCTCAAAAGGCGATGCACGCGACCAACAGGAAATTGGAGGCCCGCTCGCGCGGACCTGGTCTTCTTCCCTCCCTTAGAATGAGTCTTGCCACCCTTGCCTCGACCGGACATTCCAGGCGATTATTTGAAATCGAACTGTACCCGATGGGGGAATTTTAGGAAGCACGGTGTAAACAAACAAGAATTCCCACAGTCAAGGTCAGGCCAGCGTCTGATAGAGAGGAACGAGATTCGCACTCGTTTTCCCCATATACTTGTCACTTTGCCGAGTTTGTAGCTCCGATACCTGAGGACCAGCAGACAATGATGGACGTGATTCTGCCTGTTGGGTAAAAAGCAGTCGGCTGCGAATTCATCCGATCGATATCATGGATTCAGGGATCGATAGACTTGGTTGAGGCGTTACCCAGGCCTCCAGGATGAAAATTGCACTTATCTCTCAGGAGCCTCCATTCGAATGAAATACGAATCTCGAAAAAGTTGTAGCACGCCGATTTAAAGTCTCAACTTTGGGTAGAAACGTCGAGAGAACAAGTGCACGTAAAAACTGATCTGAGCTAAACCAAGGGTCTGGCGTGTATAGCTGTCCGAGGGAGAAAACCTGTCGTCTATTAAAGACGACTCATATTACCTTGTCCGTACAGTATATCAATTGGACCGACAATAAGCTCCCGACTAACTAAACCTTTTTCATACAAGGAGTAATTATCAGGTCTCTTAGGAGGCAACGATTGTTCAGGGCTCACCGGGCTAACTACTGAGTTGACTGCTACCGGAGGTCGCGGTTTTTGAGTGCAAATACACATTCGAAAACTTTCATCTGCCGAAAGAACTGTCCAACACCGCATGCAGTGCCGGTTTTTGAGTTTTGTTGCATGGAAATAGTAGAAAAGGTAACTCGTTTGTAAATCCTTGGCTGGGCGAGTAATGGGCACCGTTGAGTAGGTGTAAAAATGGTGTGCCTCGCAGAATTAATTGTTGAAATCAGAGATGAGTGTGGAAATATGCAAATGCGAACAAATGGGGTGGGATAGGACTGGTATGCGGTACCGTGATCTAAGTGTGAAAGTAAATAAAATTAGACTATTTCATACTAAGAGAGTAATGCAGTTTCAAGAGAGCAATGGTCCAATGGATGAAACCAATAGATTGTTCAAACACTGACACAGAGTTTCTAAAACCCACCGATCGAGGTATGAATAACCTCTGGAAGAAAGTGTAGCTATAGACCAGTCATGAGCTTCTGATTTGCCATCCGTGTGAGTCAACATACCGCGGAAAATGAGTGTATTTTTCCTTGTTTTCAGGTCCGTTGGGTGTGGATGAGATAGTTGCAGATTTGGCGATACCAGGTTGAGCGATGTTAGAACAGGGTGGTCGATCCAGGTAGACCAGATGGTGAAAAGTTCAAACGCTTCTTATGGTTCCACCATGAACATTCCCTTATTCTTTTTGGCAACAGAACTTCGGTTGTCAGAAGTGTTCTGCGAGAGTTTCAATTAAATGGAGAATAGTGGATGCAAGAGGATGACAGAACAGGCTGATCAGTTCAGTGGATACTAGATAGGGATGCATGCATCCCCAAAGGGAGACATCTAAGACGATCCAAAGCACGGTGCCACGAGATTTAGTGAAGAGTGTGCACTGCGCTAGCACCATAGCAATCTGATGGGTTTGACAAAGTGCACCGAATCTGGTTGCTGGTGGGTATGTTCAGCGCCAGGCTTCAGGGAAGTTATGTCAGTATCTCATGAATAAGCGAGAGTGCTGAGTGAATAGGCGGCAAAATGGCACATGGTGATGATAAGGATTACAAATCCACATGGTCCCACATCATCGTCTCGATGAACTCTAGTTAGGAGCCCGAGAGCAGTACAAAATAAGTCGAACCTTTGGACATGTAATTGTGCTTGTTGGAGAGGTTGAACAGCTGTCAGAAGGAACGTCGCATTCATAAATGTGCGTCTTGCTAAGATTGCAACCTTAATAAGCGCATCAAAATTGCGGTTGCCAATATTCTAGTTTCTGGAGATTGGGGCGATTTTTTTGTAGTCTCTTAAGTTAGACAGGAGCAGACAAAACTACTTTGAGTGGGCACAAGCGACCATTTTAACCAGCATTGACTTTACTGAGAGCTTTGTGGATCGGTTTGCTGGATGTGTTGGTATGGTGTACAAACGAGCATTGAGAACGGTCAATATTGCGTTATTTTTCGCGGATCGAGTGGACGGAACATCACAACCACGTAGACGGAAGACCAACTGACGAGAAGAATTGTCAAGTAGGTTTCGACATGGTAGACATCTCGGGAGCGCATCTTGTGAATAGTTAGAGTGAACATTAGCGAGTGCAGGAGTCCTTCCAGGTCGAACTGATTTATGCAGCTGAGTTTTGACAATCAAGGTTGTTCTCATCGATGGGCTAGCGTACCTGTAAACCTAGGGTATTGCTTTGCCCCCCTCACGTATGTATGTGGCTTTGGTGGTGGCTTGGCTTCCGAGGATATAAGGCTACTTGAGTTTGGGGCTGGGGACAGTGGCAAAGCTTAGGTGTTTCCTGACGTTGCACACTGTGAAGGAAGTGTGTATATGTGAATTTAACATACGAATTTCACCACTGCTCTGAGGGAATCTGTTTTAATTTTGTCCACACGATTTGCCTGCGGGCACGGGCAAACACGTGATGACCGAACAACAGTAGCAGGCAAGTTAAAATCAGGTCCGGGATTTCAGGGATCCCCGTGGCTTCCAGACTGCCAAAATAACTAGCCCATCCATTTGAAAATTCTTTACGTTATTGTTTGGTTAACCTGATTTCCGCTGATGCGATTATGAGTCCCCATTGTGAAAATAGGGACGGTGTGAGCATACGTATAAGGCGAAGTTAAAAAGACTATTTTTAACAGTTCTTCTGCTATATTTATAGCCATTATAATCAGCGTATGAGCGGAGCCACTGGGCAGATTAGACCGAGTCAAGCAACCAACTCTAGCGGGCGCTCACGTGCACTTCTACGCTAGTTTATCAAATTTCTATTCGTTTTGAAGAAGTTATTTCTCTCAGTAAAATTGGTTCAACTTTGACATCTTCAAAACTGGCCCTCTGTGCCATTCGGTGTTCAGATATGACCAAGCTAACTAAAGGATTCTGGAAAGTACATGTGTAACGGTTACCGTTTCGCTTAAATACTCTCCCAATCGATTTCACACCTACACCAACCATCCCCATCTTGTTCCGTTTGTCCCACAATCACCGTCGTGACACGAATATGACCTTGATGAACAACACGTCAACAAAGGTCAGCTCCGGTTTCGTGAACTTTTAAAGAACGACAGGTGATTTAACATTGTTTTTTCACGTGTTACTCATTGCAACGACATGTGGGAACAGAACACGGTCAACCACACAAACATGACACATCGGATCGTAGGCGGGCTCAACGCACGAGCACAGCCAGTCTCAACCACACGCCGCATTGTCCCTTTGATGTAGCGTGGGCAAACATGAGGCCATAGGCAACAAGAAGCAAGTCAGGGCGATTATATTGCCGTGAGAACACTCTGCATCCGGCCTCTCTCCGCTTAACCTCACCAAGAACCTTATAAACGGACAAGTCTCCCCAGTTTGATATGCTTCGTTTTTATATTCGTTTCATATAAGGTGCATCTAACCTTGTAATCTATTAAGGTGTAATATCCAACCTTAGTAGGGTCCTTCTCTTCTGATATTCGAGCTCAAAGTCCAACTGCTAGAGCACTGATACACGCACATTAGTGGTATGTAGCACTATGTCCCGACAGGCAGGGGATTAGTTGAACTTTCTACTTAAACGGAAAACCTCACAAAACATTGGAAACATATGCATAGCCTTGTAGTCGCGTATGTGGTTTCTAATGTATATCAAGAATACAAAATCAAAAGTAAAAGTGGCAGGGAAAGCGGATGATGCAGCTATAGTAAGCGGAATAAGGCAACTATAAACCTATATTCATCCCAAGGGATATGGCTGAGCTTATACCGCCACTACGTCCGCAAACACTTGAAGGGATGCTAAATCTCGGGAAGAAGGGAAGTTTCTCTCTGTGTCGATATCAATCATCCCTGGGTAGCTATCGTGCTTTTTGTGAAACAACTCAAAGGCCACAGACCATGTGACCGCACCCAATTGTACACAAGGCCCTCCGTTAGCCTGGCACATGTGTCGTTAATAGCCTAGATGTGGTCCATAAGGGTGAACTGGACTAGCGTATGCTTCCTTTTCCACATGGTTTTTCCACGAATTGATCTTGGGTGGAGAGCCCATTCTAGCCTTAGAGAAGGGTTAAAGTCACAAACGAAGCAGAAATACAGAGGCCAGGGATTTTGACTTCGAAAATGCCTTGAACTCAGCTGGCCCTCGGCTACTTCTCCGCAAGTTGTGTGCTTGTTTTATTGCTACTTGTGAGTATATTCTGTTTCGGAATTGCTGAAAAGCACATACTTATAGTCCAATGCTTGACACAACAAAACGGTTAGTTCAATATACAAGTTGGGTTAGGGAAGTTCCTTGAGATATTTAGGCTATTCAGCCCAGAAAATGCTCCACTGAGTTACCTAAAGTTTACTGAGGATGCAAAGCTTGATGGCGTAGTAAATCTACGGACAAGCTCAAAAATAATTTACGGCGATGGCACCTGGTGTATGTCCACCAGGCAGACCTGCCACGGTGCACGACCCCATCCAACGGTGATATGTCGGTACTCTGCCTCTTACTCAGAGGATATACATTCTAAGGATCTCCAGAGGCTAAAAAATCCTGAGGTCGTTGTACATGATACTTTGAGCCCAACGAGAGATGGGCCGCTGCATTTTTCAATGTTAACAAATGAGTTTTGTGTCCAAAACAGCCGGGACCAGGCACTGCATATACGGAGTAAGCATATAAATGACAAATATTAACTCTGATGTATAAAACAAAGGGTATGGATTTGTTGTGTATTAAGCTTTTCGTAAGTGATTTCATCTCCTCAAATGCCAGTCATCTCGAAGCAGTGTGGGAAGCCTGATTGTAACTGAAGCATTTCTCTCCTTGGACTGGTGTGAAGAGGCACTTATACAACACACAATACTGCCTTTCATGGTATTTCACCTTCCGACCTATCACACGGGGGTATCAAATTACACCGAAGGACTCCCGTAGTATTATTCCTTATCAGTCCGGTCGCCTACAACACTCATCCAATCCCAACTCAAAGAAAATATTTATTCCGGCTATCAAGTCCAGCACAAAAGAGAGTATCATTTTTCGGGGCCCGTTACTGTTGCGCCCATGCGCTTCTAAGCGAACATAATTCCTCAGTGTGCTTTGTGGCCACAGTATATTTGCTGTATCGAGCATATTTAAAGAGACTAATTTTGCTTCTGCTCTCAAGTTTCATCATCGTTATGGTAGACTCCGCTGTGTATGGATTGCGAGAGCATGGCTTTTTAATTACGCTTTGCCCTCAGAGGACCGAAGAAAACCGCCACCTTACGCCGGAATTCTTTCAATGAACCACATGAGCTAAACTCAACCAAAAGTATCCCAACTATGACTTCATTCTTTTTGCCACGGGTGAACAAAAGTGCAGTGTCAAGACGCCGGCACTACGACTGCCAAGCCTAGTCTTGACCCTCCTGTGGTTCACTGTTTGTCTGATGTTCTCCAGCAAGTGTCCCATCTGTGCAAATATAAAATGAATTTGGTTGTTCCTGGTCCTCCTGTTCACCCAAAATGCGGAATTTATTTTCAAATGGTAAGCCACCGGCTATTCTGGTGCTATTCCGTACCCGTTCTGTTCTTAAATGCAAGTACTCTATTTATGGCGATCACCTAAAAATGCCAGCAATTTACCTGCCCTAATAACTCTGGCAGACGATGGCTCACACACTCCAGAATAAGTGACTGCTTGCGTTCAACTAAAACCCCGTTTCTAAGGTGGAATCCCCTTTTCCTCTACACGCTGCCCAACTACGGCACGTCTCATCCGTGGTTTAAGTTGTAACTCCAAATGTTCAGTACAATCCCAACGTTACAATGGATGTCGCTTTCAGGTGGAAACCGCCGAGTTGTTTTTTTTAACAATGCTCCAGTAACAATGCTTCTGATTGAATAATGTACATCTTATGTAACGCACAAATCGCTTGAAAATTTCCCCCACCCACTCTCCCTGAACTCAACTGCATAAACTCAAATGCCCCGCTCAATCCAGCCTGCTGTTATCGCATCATCCCATCTCTATCCTATCCGTTAAAACGTTGCGTTGCACAAACTATGAACATGTTATTGATTCCTCAAGTGAACCGTATTATCTTTTGTTTAAATACATATTTTTGGCACTTTTCGAACTGGTTTCTCACGCTTAATACTCGTCTCCGTGTTTGTCGTGAGTCTAACTTTCGGTCGATAGCTGTCAAGGTTTGTTGTGCATTAATTGATTTATTGATGTTTTGTCGTGATCACTTTCGTTTTGAATCCGGATCCGTTCTTCGGTGCTCGTTGATCGACTTATCGATTTTGTCGCTTACATCTTATTCACAACCTTTAATCGCTTTAATCCTATGTCACCCTGTTCTTACCTTCTTATTCTCCCGATACACACCATGGATGGATACCAGTTACCTGAGCGCATGTATGAGTACCAAGCCATGCTCAGCTGCATATGGCAAACTCACCATTCTGATTGTCTAGACAACTTCACCTGGTGTCTGACTGTATCACCAAAAACATGGCTAAGTTTGTGCCCTCACAAGCTGCGAATATTCATTAATATTGTCGATTGTTATACTACGAAGAATTTTAATTTGGACTAAACAAAGTCCCCTGTACCTCGGCCAAAATTCATGGCCACCCGAACATATTCTGCTAAATAATTTTCTTTGGTGCGAGGAACCCTCATCTTGCCGAAATTACACACGTAATCTTTCGCCTTGGCCATCTGCCTGCCAGTCAGTAGCAGTCATGAGGTACTTGTTATATTGCATTTCTGACTCATTGGAAGTCTGTCCGAATGATATACTATCTCCACTAATAGTTTGTTTTATGCCTTTGTTGTATTATAATGGTATTACATAGGAAACATTTGTGCACCGCCATTTCCTAGGGTGGTCTACACAACTTTACATCAAAAACACACTATAATTCTCATACTAGTTTTATTATTTAGTTCTTTCCATTTCAGAGCTTCGCGCTTTTGGAAAAATCTCTAAAAACACGAGGCCCTACTAATCATCTCTCATTCTTTCCCATATACAAATTCTGACCTGAAACAGCCGCTCTATTTGATCGCCTTCCACCCCGTTTACAACCACATGGAATACAAAACCGAATGAACATATTTCTGTTCAAGTATCAACCTGACTCTTCGTGGTGCTCACCTTGGCCGACACAGGTCATT